AATTCTTTGAGCCAGGTGATCTTTGGTCAGTGTTTTTGGCATCCATCTACGTGAAAGCTTGCTGAGGCTAATATTTGCTTAAAATTGCAATGATGATCTATGTGAGATTCTATTGTCTCAGTGATAACTTTTTGGTCTTTTTACACCAGTTTCTGGACTTCAACCACAATTTCTTCATTTGTCTAAGTTTATGGTTTTCCCTCTCTTGGCTCATCTTTGAGGGGTTCCTTAAGACAATTGATCCATCTAAAAACTGTTTTTTGTAAATTTATTGTAAAGCTTTAATGATTTGAGAAGCTGTTGACTGAGTTTTGTTAAAAATTTGATATTGGCCCTAACTTCAAAGTCATTTCCCCCCCCATGGAGCCCAAAGTGTCCTTTTTTAAAAGGCACCCTAATGAGACTAAAACAATTGTATTACTGAGGGAATATATCTACAAACATGCAGAAACATGTTAAACCTGTTTTGGTTGGGATACACCTGTGCACATATGAACTGGACCCTTAGTCACGATACTTTTTACTTACATTTCTCTGTGCATGTGTGTGCATGCATGCATATATGAGGGGCGTTTAAAAAGTTCATGGAAATTTTCATTATCTTTTAAGTCCTTTTTCCATGAACTCTTTGAAGTTCTCTCATATATGTGAGTTTGTATGTATATACTTTGTACATATACATAATTAATTTACTTTTCCCACAAACTTTATGAAGCTCTCTCCTGTATGTATATATATGGATACCAATAAATCTGGGTAAATGGGTATCTATATATGAAAGGGTACCTCAAAAAATCCAGATTATTTTTTTTCCCAAAGCTATGCCTTTACATTTTTTTTAAAACAAAACAACCTTATCAAAGTACTCTCCATTGCACTTAATATATTTGTCAAATCTGTGATTCAATTCTTGGAAACATTTTTCAAACTCATCTGTTTGTATGGCTGACAGCATCTCTCTTATTTTTTTCTTCACCTCTTCTACATCTGCCTGTCATGTCCCTCTACATTTGTGGAAACAAAAAGAAGTTGAAAGGAGTGAGGTCAGGTGAGTAAGTTGTGTGGGTCAAGAGAAGCATGCTGTTCTTTGCCAAAAACTGGTGCACTGAGATGGCTGTGTGAGCAGGTGCATTGTCAGGTGGTGGCAAAACCAGTCCTTTGTCTGCCAGGTTTTTTTTGTCACACACTCTTACATTATCTTTTCAGAACCTCTAAATAGAAAGCTTGATTAATAGTCTGACCTGGTGGAATGAACTCCAAATGCACTATCCCCCTCACATCAAAACAAAAACAGAAACAAATGAACATAGTCTTGATCTTTGATTTCACTTGACAAGCTTTATTTTGGATGAGGTCATGATGCCATCTTCCCCTGGCTTGATTGATGTTTGTTTTCAGGTCATAA